AGTTGTGGAAATCAGGTCGTTTAGCAGTAACGCCATTGTTGGTAAGTAGAAGTGTTTAGAGGATAAGATACAGAAGATTCAAAATTTTACCCTTTGTAGACAAAGTTTCTTTCTTTCTTTCTTTTTTCTTTCTTTGTAGACAAAACATCATGTGCTGTTTCCTTAGGGATATGAGTCCTTTCTGCACAGAAGTTCCCAGGCAATGAACACCCCTGCTCTCTCTGCATCTTCTCAGACATTCTTCCAGGACAAATAAAAGGAGACATGATTGATGAATTTGGGATGTGAGCATACCACACTTAACTACACTGCTCCCTCATTTTTCTGCTCTGGGTCCTGTGCCTGCAGAGACCAGCCACTGTAGCCTGTACTCCTGATGTGCAATTGCCTCATATCCAGCATAGACTATGACAGAGGCTGAATGTACCTCATTCTGATGCTCAGTATTTGATATTATAGTTGATTCACATCCAAACTATGCTCACCAATAGAATCCACATAATGAAGGTAATATTTTAATAACAAGTCATTTTGGGGGAAATTTCTCAATTGGTTCTGAAAAAGTTTTTTAACATCTAATGTTTTCCTTGTAAAGTTAACTACAAAATACTTTGAAGAGTGATTCTGGTAAGAATAGATAGATTTGTTTATATCAAGGCAGGAATATTTGCTCAATTATTCTATTGTACCTTTATTATTATTATTATTATTAGTAGTAGTAGTAGTAGTAGTAGTAGTAATAGTAATAGGAGGAGGAAGAGGAGGAGGAGGAGGAGGAGAAGGAGGAGGAGGAGGAGGAGGTGGAAGGAAGGAAGGAAGGAGGGAGGGAAGGGAGGGAGAGAGAGAGGGATAAAGAGGGGGGAGAGAGAGAGAGAGAAGGAGGGAGGGAAGGGAGGGAGAGAGGGAGGGAGGGAAGGGAGGGAATGGAGGGAAGGAGAACAGAGCACAATTCTTTGTCTGTCAAAGATAGACTTGTTATACTAACCACTACATCTAACATAGAAAACCTAGCACTTGCTGCCTCTGACAAATGAATGCTGCTCTCAAATCTGTTCAAACCCTTCAGCCCTGTGGTCCTCCCCAAGACTGTCTTGGGACATTGCTCATTGGTTCAGGGCCAGAGAGGGCAAGAGAGATCCTGCCCCAAGGTAAGGCGGGGAACTGGCTGCTTCTGAGTCACCGGCTTTCACTGTACTTTCTCCATCACCCCAAATAAGCCTCAGGGCCCACCCCCATGTAGTTATCATCTCCTGATTAATACCTTCACCACTAGGGAGTACCCCCTCCAAGACCTGGCCAGGTTCTCATTTATTCCATAGCCCCTCACATCTCCTCCTCCTCCTCCCTCCTTCTATCTCTGTGTTTGGGACTCAAACATTCCCTCAGCAATCATAGTAAGAAACCCACTTCATATTACCACCCAGAACACACGTACAAATAGCCAAACTTTCACTCTGAAGTTTTTTATTCTAATTTATACAGCTCAGAAATTCAAAAGGCCAGTTGCAAAGTGCTAACCTATAATATCTTGTGAATGGCTGTGACCCCTAATTTACAAACACACCTATAAGGGCTGGAGAGATGGCTCAGTCATTAAGAGTGCTTGGTGCTCATGCAAAGGACCTGGGTTTGGTTCCTAGCACCCACATTGGGTAGCTCATAATGGCCTGTAACTGCAGCTCTAGGGGATCTGACGCCTTCTCTGGCCTCTGCAGGCACCTGCATGTGTACTCATGCACACACACACACACACACACACACACACACAATAACAAAAATTTAAAACACACACACATTTATTCACATAAATCACACGGACATATAAGCATCCCTTAGTATTCAAGGGAGATTGTTTCAAGGCCTTCCTATTCCCACACAGGGTACCAAAGTCCACAGATAGTCAAGTCCCTTATATAAAATAGAATTGCATTTGCATTCCATTTGCATATGCTATACACAAGCTCCTGATTATTTGAATCATCTCTAGAGTACTTATAATATGTAAATGGTTGTTACAATGCAGTTGTTAGGAAATACTAACAGAATACTTTCTATCCATAGTGGGCTGAACCCCAGGTTAATCTACAGATCAGAGTTCGTGGAGATGGAGCAGTGATGGCACATCCAACACAGCACTCAGAAAGAAAGAGGGAAGAGAGGAGGGGTCACTCCCATTCTATAGACCATCCAAAAATCCATATATAAGTCTGAATTTCCCCCCACTCAATTATAATCTCTGACTTCTGGTCTGTGAATGATGGCACAACTGGTTACATCCTTTCTCCTCTTTAAAATCTTAGAGTATCTACTAAAGGCTAGCTCAGGCTCAACCATTAAATCTCCCACTGGATCCAGAGAGTGGATTTCCCACCATCAGATCCACCTTTGCAGAGGACACTCCCGACCTTGAGATGTTAACAGAGAGCTTGGTTTCTGGGTGTGCTGAGGTGGTCTGGAGAAACGCAGGATGCTGGGCTCCTGAGAGGTGTAACAGGGAACACAGCCAGCTCTCACCATCTCCCTATCAGGTACAAAAGTCACCTCTTGGGGCTGAAGAGATGGCTTTCAGGAAAGTGTTAGCCACACAAACAAGAGGACTTGAGTTCAGATCCTATGGAAAAAGCTGGGTGTGTTGGCACTCATCGTAATCCTAGTGTTGGGGAAGTAAAGCCACAGATCTCCCTTCTGGCCAGCCCAGCCCAGCCCCAATTCAGTGAGAAACCGTCTCTAAAAGTAAGATAGACAGTGACTGAGAAAGACATCCACCATCAACCTCTTGGCCTCCATATGCACGTGCATGTGTGTACACATACCTGCATGTACACATATCTGTGCTGTACACATACTTGTGTTGCACACATACATGAACATGTACACCCCCCAAAATCAGAAATAAAGGGAAGCCATCTGTCCAGCACGTTGGGAAGTCTGAAACACTTGTATGAGCCCCTCCCTCTCCGGTACCACATGCCATCCTTTGTAAAGGTCACTCTAACCCTGAAAAGACCCAGGGAAGAAACTACACACCACAGCTCTCAATCATGTCCGTGTCTTCCAGGGCATGGCTGGAAGACCTGGTATGCATCTAGATTTGAGCCAAAGAATGAAGAGCTCACAAGTCTTGGTTTTATTCACATCCCTCCTGGTCTATTCCAGGAAAACAGACAGCTGATCATTGACTTTCCTGGCCCCTTCCTGTTTCCAACAAGAAACAAAAACAAAAACAAAAAACCCTCCAGATTGACCAGATCCTCCCCTCCCTGTGCCTGAGACAAAGCTCTGCCCACACAGTGACATCATACTTGAGGCTCCATTGGCTCATTCTACTTCTCCATCTAAAGCGGGGCGGCTGCTTTCTTATCACTAAGCCTTTATCTGAAGGCAGCACTAACACTACCTGAGCTCCCTGACCAATGCTGCTGAGCAAACCACATCAGCTCATCTGGCTGCAGTCTCTGACCAATGAGCCTGCCAGATGAGGCCACGGAAGACAGCTCCCAGCACAGTCCCCAGAGGGCCACAGCCTGAACCCCTAGACCTGTTCTTGACTGAGCAGTTGCATCCACACAACGGAGAGAAAGATGGCTTAGACAAGTCAGGATCCAGCAAATAACCAACTGACACTTACCTGGGGGGCAGACACACTCGGATGGGGCTTCTCGAACAGTCCGGAGCTTGGTGACTCCTTCCAACTTCTGAACAGAGAAGAAAGGGAGGGGGAAAAAAGAGAGTAAGTTGTAGAGCAGAGATGTGGAAAAATCCAGAACACTGAGCAATTCATGGTGGCAGTGTGGCTTCTCAGAGCATTGCCATTTTCTTTTTAAAATATTTAGTATTTTTATTTTATATGTATTGGTATATTGCCTGCATGCATATAAGTGCACCCATGTTGTGCAGTGACTATGGAGGGCAGAAAAGGGTGTTGGAGCCACTGGAACTGGAGTTACAGATGGTTGTTAGCTGCCATGTGGGTGCTGGGAACTGAACTCGGGTCCTCTGCTAGAGTGGCCAGTGCTCCTAACCACTGAGCCATTTCTCCAGTCCCCATTTTTTTCTTTTCTTTTTTTTTTTTTTTTCCTTTTGGTCTTTTTGATTCGAGGTTTCCCTGTAGCCCCAGCTGGCCTGGAACTTGCTGTGTAGACCACACTGCCCTCATGGGCTCAATCTCACAGAGATCCATACCTCTACCTCCCAGATATTGGGATTGAAGGCCTGTGCCACCACTACACCCCACCACTCCTCGCTGTCTTCTTTTTAAAGATTTATTTACTTTTCTTTTCTGTGTAGGAGTGTCTTGCCTGCATGTATGCAAGTATACCACATGCATGCAATGCCCACAAAGGCCAGGAGATGGCGTCAGATCCCCTTGGCACTGGAGTTAAGGACAGTTGTTAGCTACCATATAGGCATGGGGAACAAAATCCAGTTCCTCTGCAAGAGCAGCCAGTACTCTTAGCTGCTGAGCCATCTCTCCAGGCCCTCCAGAACATTTCCTTAAAGGGCATTCAATTCTACAGGTGATTTTGTACTGAGAAGAAATTCAAAAATAAACATTGAAAAAGTACTGACGAGTCATTGACAGGACGCAGTAGGTTTCTGCTGTGTTACATGTTCACTCCCAATGCCCAGAGCAGCAGAGGTGGCACCCCGTCAGTCACAGGGAGCTGAAGAGGTCAGATCCAAGAGGTCTGGGGGAGTACATCAAAACTGGCCCCCATGTTGGCTCACTGGGCTCCCAAGATCACCCCATTCCCACCCAGGAAGCCCCACAACCCCTTATTCCTATGGCCTTGGATGTGAGGACCCTGGCCTAATCACCCTGACAATATTTTCCTTCCCAGAGGATCCTTGGCCTAGATCAGTCAGTCAGTCAGTTTAGTAGAATTTAACAAGAGTCTCCATGCAGGCCCAGCCCTGTGCTGTGTGTAGGAAAGAAGGGAAAAAACACCACAGGGACATAGTCAAAAGTCAGTGGTAACTCACAGGGACAGCCCTGGTGTGTTCATGGCTTCAAGGCAACTCTCATGTGCTGGGCGTTGAACCCAAAACCTCCTGCATGCTAAGAACATACTCTACCATTGAGCTATGCCCCCAGCCACAAGGCAACTTCTGAAGTCTGAATTAAAGTCTTTTTATCTTAAGTGAGGAGACCCAAGTTGGGAAGAGGATATTCGCCTCCATGCTAGGGATAGAGTGAAGTTATTGAATCACTGTCTCAAGATGAGTCAGGACGTAAATCCTAACAAGGACACAGAAGGCATTAACTCTTTTCTTTTGGGGGGGGGCATAAGAGCCCTAAAAGCAAAACAGAACAAAAGAACTAATCTGTTGAGTGTATAATGCACTTACTAGTATCAGAATTGGTATTTCAGGTTCAAACAAAAAAAAAAGGGCATTTATTTATCTATTTATTTATGTATTTATTTATTCATTTATACTTTTGTGGTATTAGGGGTGGAACCCAGGGCTTTGCGCATGCCAAGCACATGTTCTGTTACTAAGGGGGTGCCTTCTCTGTAATCTTTCAGCATTGACCTAGAAAGTGAAAAGAGACTCCCTTGGCCTTGAGCCCTTGGTTACTGAGCCCAAGGCTCTCTGCTTGACCAAACTTAATTTGGCTTCTGAGCCCTGTCCTGGGCCCATCTGTGCTTCCCTGTAAAATCCCGTGTTAGCCACCAGCCCTGCTTAGTCAGTTTACTAAGAAGCCACGTCCTTGATATCTGACCACTCTGGATTTCTAATCATGTTCCTCGCTCTCCACAGACCCTGGGTGACATCTGCTCACTCTGGGCTGTCTTCAGCAAAGTCCTGTCCAGTGAATTTAACCAGAATTCCCCTAACCCCAAGTTTCCACTTAGTAATGCTTGATCTACTGACCAGCCATCCTAGTCCTTAGCTATAAAATCCCATTTGTTATGCTTTATTTAAAACTGAACCTAACCTCTTCCCCACTACAAAATCTCACTGTAGTCCCAAACCTACTTCAATGGTCCTGAATAAAGTCTCTCTCAGTCTCTCTCAGTCTCTCTCTCTCTCTGTGTGTGTGTGTCTGTGTGTGTGTGTGTGTGTGTGTGTGTGTTATGCACGAGTGGAGGTCAGAGGACAACATCAGGTGTCTTTTCTTATGGCTCTCTACCTTAGTTTTTTTATGTGGATGCTGGAGATCCAAACTCTGGTCATCATGCTTACATAGCAAGCACTTTACCCAGTGGGCCATCTCCCCAGCCCCTTTCTTCTTTAACAGTATCAAGCTGGGACTCTCACAGAACACAGGACCTCAGACATGCCCAGTCTGCCTCTAGCTGGAGCAGTCCAGGACCAAGAGACTGAGTCTAAAACATGTTTACTCCCTGCAGCCTGCAAAGCCTTTCTAAGATCCACCTCTAGTGCAGCTTCAGAAGCCTGAGCAGGAAGCAGATGAAGGTAAAGTCAACCAGCAGTAAGGGAGAGGTAGATGGGTATTATCAGCACAGAGCAGTTACATCCAGAGGGCACTCAAGTGTGGGGACATCTGACTTTACCCTTGGCCTAACTCCCTGGACTCCTGAGACCCTCCATCTGCCCCAAGAATCCATCTGGGCCTCTGGACAGCAGGTTCTCAGCTCCCACGTGGACCTCCAATTGCCACCCACTTCTGCTCTGGTCTAGAGCACCCATGTTTAGCCCTGTGAGCAGCCTGGTCCAGCAGGGGCCCCTACAGCTCCCTCCTCTAGCTGGGGAGACCAACTCTCTCAGGGACAGCAGCAAACATCAGCCTTCCCCCACCCGCAGCCTCGCTGAGGGGCTGAGGTCTGTGACCAGGACTTTCCTGCTTGTCCTTGCTGAACAGAGAGTGAGTTTATGCAGAGACCGAAGTGAACAAACCCCAGCTTTTTGCTCTGAGGCAGCTCCCCTGAGCTCTGGATCTAGATATAAGAGCGAGGATGGCCTCCTCCATCTCCTTCCTTAACAAAGTGTGTAATGCTGAAGATAATGATCTTTTAACTGCTATCTCATTTGGGCCGCTCTTCCAAAGGGGACAGGGCTTTATCAAGAGCTAGGAGGGCACACATGACTTTAAAACTACTCTCTTCTTAAAATAAAAACCCACAAGGGAACTACAGATTCCAGAAGTGATCTGGCTAAGGCAACCAGGTCCCTGGGATTGAGTGCTTTTCTTATTCTGCCCTCCTGTCTGCATATTTTTCTAGATAGGTCACGAATAGGCAGTTTTACCTCCAAGTCCTTCACCTCCCCTGATTTCTGTTCCTCACAGCCTAAAGTTTTAAGCAAGGTTACTATGAGCTCCACAGGAAATGTTAGAGTTGGAAACACAACCCCACAATCTTTATGCTTTTTTTAACTTTGAGAAAATCCTTTGTGCCCAGGTTTAAAAAAAAAAAGATTTAAAAAGTCTCAATTCCTTACATCAATTATCTGGCAGCACCCCAGCATCTGCACACAATATGGTCCTGGATCCACGTGCAGATGTGGCCTTCACAGAAAAGTAAATAAAAGATGAGTTTCTGAGGACAGAGACTTTGGGGACACTTCTACTCAGAAGTCTGGAGAAGGAGGAAAATGGGGAGTCTGGGGAGAACAGTAGGGGAAAAATGAATCAGGGGAAAAAAAATCACCCTTTTCAAACTATGATCCATTGATGAAATTATTAAGGACCAGTTGGGGCATTAGATGTCTGACCACATCTTCAAATGGTTTCAAGTGAATGAAACACAGATCAGTGTACAAGGAAAAAAGGACAGAGCTGGGTGTGGCACGTGGTGTCAGCTATGCAGCTACTCTGGAGGCTGAGGGATGAGGGTGGCTTGAGTTTAGGGTTTCCAGACCAGCCTGGACAACATGGCGAGACCCCGGCTCAAAGAGCAACGAAGCTTGTAGTGATTTATGGGAAATGCTGCAGAACTATAACGCATTCCTATCTTTGGCTGAAAAGTCCTACCCTGGGGAAGAGATCCCAGGGAAATAAACCAACAAAAGAAAAAGAAGTTACTCATGGAGAAGTTGCAGACAGCAGACAGGATGGTTCAGCGAACAACAAAGACTCCCTTGATGAAACTGTTACAGGTCATGAAATAGCATTATAAAGACTGGAGAGCATCAAGGAAAAAGGTTTATACTACAATCCGTAAAAAGTCTACAGCTATGTAAAAATTCAGGCAGGGGCAGGGAAGGCAACTCTCTAGACAGAACTCGTTTGGGTGTTGGGATTATGGTCGTGTGTTTTTCTATAAAGAAAAACAATTATTTATGGGGCTAGGGCAATGGAGTCCCAGCATCCCACATAAATACCAGGAGAGTGTGGCAGCACACCTGTAATCCCCATTCACGAGCAGTGGACACAGGGATCCCTGAAACAAGCTGCATGCCTAGATTAGCCGAAACCAGAAGCTCTGAGTTCAAGTGAGAGATCCTACCTCAATATATAAAGTGAAGAGGGATCAAGGAAGACACCTGATATCAATGTCTGACCTCCACATGCATACACACACACACACACACACACACACATACACACATACATGTGAATACACACACAGGTGCAGATGTGCACACACAACACACACATGTACATGACAAAAACAAAAGTTACTTCTGGGGCTGGGGTTGTAGCTCAGTAGAGCACTTGCTTAGCATTTGTGCCCTGGATTCAATTCCTAGCAAAACACACATACACACACATTCTCTCTCTCTTCTT